ACAACTGATTGATCACTGGGTGGTGATTGATGTCATGTATGTCAGGTCCTTCTTATTATATGTAGTGTTGAGTAACCTAGACTGGTGGTCACATTGTAACTTGGTCGATAGGATTGGATTTGCACTAAGAAGGACCTGACATACATGAAATTGATCACCACCCAGTGATCAATCAATTGTAAATCTATTAGTTTTTCCAGTACCAAAAATACGACTTCGTCTATCTACCAATCATTTGTGTGCTAAATGTCTTTTTACTCAAACGAGGTGTTTAACGTTCATTAAGTAAGACATATCATCCAACCATGACAATCGTAATTAATACAACAAATCATATGTTTCACAGAAAACACACATTTCCAAGTAGTAATCTCATTTCTAGCTGTTTATGTCAATATACTTGAGTGTAAATACAATGTCAAGGGAAATGTAATCATCATTTGTAAATAGTGGTGAGGGTTTTCCTGATTGTTTCCTAAATAAAAAAACTTAGCAATTCGATTGGATCATGTGGTGAACATGCATTCATCAGGTCATGAAAACTATGATTCATTTCTTACTATCCTTAAGCATTTATTACGACTGATGGTTTTTCAAACTTAAGCACTTTAACATGTTAATTTATTGACATATTACTTGAAACATACTGAAAAAATATACCACATGATTCGGATTAACTATGCTTCCCTTTATGTTAAATGCACCAAAAAATTTCAAATTATATTTACTAAACGACTTATACTACTAATAAGTAGTGTAACTCCTCCCTAAAATTATTTATTACATTTACAGTATTCAGAACTAACAACCCAAAACACAAATATCGGGAGTATTTTCGGAGTTATACATAAGGAGTTATTTAGGAATTTTAAAGATTAATTCGTCTGTATATTCCAAGTCTGATGGTCAAGGGGTTTCACTAAAACTACTGAAATAAGACTGTACCTACCGTCAATATATGTATAAATCTTATCCATTAATGTAATAGGATTAGTTTCAGAATCCCACTGAATCATACACTGAATATGTTGGATATATCTCAAACCTATTTGGCATTATAATATAGTTTTCTTGAACCCGTTAAAGTTCTCTTTCCGTTAAATAAAGCAAGACATTCAAATAGTAAAACTTCATCATTTTTACGAACACTTTTATCTGGTTATTATATCTTCAAGCAATATGTGTACGCGAAAACGCAATTGCTTACAAAATAAAACAAGATGTTTTGAGAATAGCTTTCCTCACGAACTGATCTCAGGTAGTTTGCTATTTGAAACCAAACGTCATGGACAGCTTCGAAATAGATTTTCGAGATTTTAGAAAGAAATATCAACCAACGAAGTGAGACAGATATCACTGAAGATACTCAGAGAAAATGAGAGAGTTGGTAAAAATGGAAAAACACGACTCTCTATTATTCACGCATGTACTGAAATGCTACAAAGTATCTAGTTCATTGCTTGTAGAATTTTTTTCAAGATAATCATTTGGTTATCTAAATTTATATTTACCAACAAGTTGAAGCTAAGTATATATTTCAGCTGTTTCATGCTGGAATAATTATCATTATCGGACTTTCAGAATTAGGCATGTTAAAAACGCTTTAAAGAATATAGAATCATGTTTTCATTAGCCCTCTTGATCAACAAGAATAAAATCAACCAAATTCGCAGTTCTGACCACTTCTGATTTCAGTACATTTTATGTCCAACATTTTTCGGTTAGGAGGCTACTTGCATGGAATCCGTAAAATGTTTCATATGTCGTACACCAAAATTTAAATTTAAATGTAATCAGTTATTGAACTGAAATTTACTAACTTCTCACTTTTTTCAATGTTAATAGCCATAAGTTCAAGCGAATATGTTTTTCAGAAATTTAATGCTGAGTCAACTCATTTTCATGTTTACAGGTTACCGTGAAGAAAATGAGCATCAGACAAGATGTGAGAGTAATAAATGTGTAAAAATGTCTGTTTGGCAATCGACAGTTGGATGCGGTGTCACTCAACCCCAACAAAGCAGTTTGCATCTATCAACATGGCTCACACTAGAAGTCATTACTTAAAGCACTGATGCCGCGTTTTGATTTGGACGCCTCTAAATTTCTCCCGACCATCCCCAACACTAGTTCACATTGCACGTCGTGGTAATCGGTGTTCAGGCATACGCAACACGTGGCCCAACCATCTCAGTCGATGGAGATTCGCAATCTCACCAACTGACTTACCATCATTCCATAATACCCTGCGTCCGATCTCACTACTACTTACCAGGTGATTCCAGCAGATGTGAGCAATATTTCTAAGACATCTATGGTCAAATACTAGTAGCTTACGAGTATCTTCTACTCTCAATGGTCACGCTTAACAGCCGTAAACTAGGATAGAACAAACTACTGAGCAGTATACTCGTCCCTTAATTGATAGACAGATATATCGCCTTCGCCATAGGTGACGTAAGTTGGTAAAAGCCGAACGAGATTTTCGAATAGGTGCTGAGATTTCGTCAGACACAAACCCATTAGGGCTGATCAGACTTCCAAGATAAGTGAAGTTGTTGACGCGTTCGACTACTTCGTTCTCTATCCTTAGTCCGGGAGCAACAACTTGGATTTAGATGGGGAGAAACGCATCCCAGACATCCTGGCATTGTTGTTCAGTGCTATCAGAAGACTCTGCATTTCATCGGCATCTTCACCAAACAGGATTATGTCGTCTGCATATTCTAAGTCGATAAGTGGACCTCCTGTAGGAGATCGATGCCCGAGAATTCAGTCGACGAGAACGTGGTTTCCATCAGTAGATCTATGATGAAGTTAAACAGAAATGGAGAAGGTGGACAGCCATGATGGACACCACTTGAGGTCGCTAAAGCAGATGACAGTTCTCCATAAGCCCTCACTCGACTAGTAGTGTCCGAGTAAAGAGCATTCATAAGGTTTATGTACTTCTGAGGTACGCCTTTCAATGACTGACACTGCCACAGAACCTCTCGGTCCACAGAGTCAAATGTTGGTTTCAAGTCAAGAAAGACCACCACTGTCGGACGCCGATAAGTATGCCTGTGTTCTAGAACCTGACGAATGGTGAATATGAGGTCGATGCAGCCACGACCAGTTCTGAAGCCAGATTGATTCTTTCGTGTTTGCAGTTCATGAGTCTTAGTTAGGCGTCCGATAATTATTGTGGTTAGTATTTTAGATGCTATATTAGTCAAACTAATCCCTTTGTTTGTCGCAGGATGATTTTGACCCTTTGTTATATATCGGGACAATCAGTGATTGTGACCAGTCAGATGGGATAACGTCCAACTCCCAGATTATATCTAAAAAGTTAGTCAACCTAATGGCTAAAATCGGACCGCCATCCTTAAAGATATCTGGAGCCAATCCATCTGGACCAGCTGCTCTTCCTCATTCCAGAATAACCATAGCCTTTTGAACTTCAGCTAGAGTTGGGGGACCTACTTCAATGTTCCATTCACAAAACCATGTGATGAATATAATTCAATTATCATTTGAGTTTATCAATTCAGTATTGGAAACAGTGATATTAATAAGTCTTAAGTTAAGTAAGAAATTGTACTTTGGCGTCTACTTATGAAGCTGAAATAGCCAATTCATTCTGCGTAATGATGTTTCTTACGAAAATTCCCCCAAAATTATCGATCACACCTAGTGTAAATATTTACTAAAACAACAATATAAAGTATATTAGTACATATCATAAGCTTTGTGAACAGATGTCAATTATTAATAAAGACCACCAATGGTGATAAAACAGGATAATCAATAAGACATCAGACTGAAACAATGATTATCTCTAACCCTTATTTAAATATCATTCATGCTTTGCTAACTAGGTCATCATCATTTGACCTTAAAACCTGGTCGTCTTATAGTTACTAAACAATGATGCTTTATTTTTCAGTGATTCAATTAGGATATACACAAATATACGTGAGTCTTCTTTCATTTGTATAATGATTACCTGGTACTTATGATTAATAACATTTCACCGCCATACATATTTGCTTTTAGTTTATAAGCAGACTACATGATCTAAAGACTGAAACGTTGATTTTATCAACCAACTTTTAATGTGGCAGCTATTCAAAATGATGCAACATCACGTTGGACTGTGTTTTATGTTACCAGGACAAATATTGTAAGTACTGGTTCCTTCAAGATTGCAAATCAGCTATGATAACGAGGGTCAAGTAACATGAAACGGAAATCCATAATTTTCTACAGATCCTCTCTAACCACTTAATATCAGAATAATAGACAAATTTGATATAACTGCCTTATTATTAAATTGATTTGGTATTGTTTGTTTGAAATTTGCCCCATTTCACAAGCAAGTGGTCATCAGCACTCAGTAGCTAAGTGGGTAACGCGATGGCGTTTGAGACGGACGGTACTGAGTTCAAGTCTCGGAGTGAGTATCAACCCTGGGATGCAGGTACATTCAGCTGACGAGTCCCACATAGGACGAAACTTACTTCCTGGATTTCACTGCTAACCACCATCCATCTTTACTTATAATGACTTATTAATATATTATTATCAGAATGGGAGTGTGTGAAGATTGTAGTTAATTCATTAACACCGTTGGATGCCGGTTCAGTGGTCTAGAGGTTAAGTGTTCTCTCACGAGACTGAAGGCCCTGGGTTTGACTCGTACATTACTTGAGGAGTCCTGTACTAGGATAAGACGGCGGTCCAATGCTTCCAGGTTTTCAATGATGGTTCAGGTTAGATCGACTCAGAAATTCAAGTATTAAAATGACTAATAGATGTTTACTCTTCATATCATGGACTTAAAACTACCGATGATATATACCTACATTTGTTAGAAAATTTTATGCCGTTATACTTGTTTATTCAGTGAAGAAACCCAAACCTATAACAATAAACAAACTTATATGATGCGTTTCTGTAAGATTTATATATTATACTATACTTTTTCACACTGAATAGAACAAAACTGATGAAAAATGTGTATAAGTATATCTGCATTCCGAAAATACTATCGACCGGAGCCAAAAAAACCATACTTACATTCAATGAAATTGAAATCTCCCTTTGGAAGACCTACACGTTCTTCGTAAGTATTACAATTTGAATAACTTCATCGATAAATCATAAGTAAATCTCTCAATATAACAAAACTGTACTTCTAAATGATTTTTAAAAAATCCATATTTCACGTATGTTATATTTTGTACAGAACGTATATCCACAAACATAGTCTGATAGAGAATAAAGTTATATTGGAGCTATCAATTTGTATTTAGTGGTTTACATCATGGACTAACTGTAGCTAGATCAACACTAAAAACCAGAAGTAACTGGACAATTGTTTTGATAATCACTTGACTCCTCAGGAGTGGTATCCGATGATTCACATATCTAACCTCAGTCAATCAACAATTAATATTTAGTTATATTTACTACTTGGTTAATAAAATTTAGTCTTCTAATGGTCATTATCTTGATACGCAAAAGTTGTCAAAGATATCTTAGTCGCTGTATTAACCGGAAAAGAATATGACTAAATAAACATTATGTAATAAGCTTAAGCATTTTAGATTATTCAATAACATCATTTATTTTAATTGAATCTAGACTCAATCTATTATCATATTCAAATTAAATTAATTATGATTAAATTAATGAATAAAAACCTGAGATAACAAAGATGTGTTTCAGAGATGTTAGACCCAACTAGTTTGTATTTGTTAAACCTAAAAGAAACCATATTAGTGTAAAATTCATATTGCTAGTCACTAGATAGGCTAATCGACCAAATATAAATGCCTATAACGATTCTAAAATGATCATTCAGATTACTTAGACAAAAGATCTACTGCAAGAGTAATATTACTAATTCTATACATTAAGAGAAATAACTGACATTTTATTGTGAATATCCTACTTGTTTATTAAATGCTGATATAATTATGAATCGTTTATTATTTCGAAACCCTTATTCTTTGAATAATACAACTTCCTTTTGTAATCAATATTGGTTTGGCTTTCGTTAATAGGTTTACTTGTAGTGGATAGTATCAACAACGTTTAACAATCTACAGTTCACTTTTGATAATCAGTTTACGGTTTCATGTGATCGGTAGCTAAAACTTTCCACGCAAATGTTTTTTTCATAAGGAAGAAATTTGATCGAGTTATATAGGCTGAGACTTGTAAATTCTGGTCTAATATTACTTCAATAGAGCTGTTAGTATGGGCACTTACTTTCGTTCTACTAAACGGAGTTATATGAATTTTAGAATGAGACTGGTATCGTATTGTTTAAATCCGGTGGATTATGTAACTAACTCCATGTCATACTGATGTGTACTAAAGTAATGAACACATATCCCTTCACAATGATTTATCTAGCTCTGTTCATGTTTTCATCGTAACTATTTAATGAAATCAATTCACTTATCAAGAATTTTATGGCTTTTGTTTATCTTTTCAGATATCTTAGAAGTCAGTTAAATTATGGACGTATGGATAGAGAAAAAAGCAAAGATTTAAGAAGAGATAACAGTGATATATTTGACTGTCATACTCTTATTGAACCGATTCATAAGTTATTAACTAACAGGTAATATTTTGTTTGAGTATTTGTGTTCACAAAATATTATGTCCAGCAAAGATGTTTGATCATTTATGACTTGTAGTATAAAATGCATATTTGATATTAGTAAAAACAATTAATTGTTAGAAGCTTGTTACTACAAAATTCAAATGCCTAAAATTCATTCAAAGTACACAATCTGTATTGTTCCAGTCTAAATATGTTCATTAAGAAAATATGAAAAATCATTTAATGATATCATCATTTCTCTATATGATGAATTTCTATAAACTGAGACATAGACAACATGTATATTATCCTGTGTATTATGGATCTTCTTCATTTTCTTCTTCCATTTTCTATCGTTAGTCTATCAGTACCTTTTTGAGACAATTAACAACCATTCTTTTCGTTCTTTAGTATGCCCTCAAATGCCCTGGTGCGGCCGAGACTGAGGAAAGTCCGCTTACCCTCTCGAAATGCTTGCACATGGCCACGATTATATAGCCTCTGCCAGGGAAGTCCTACTCACTGCCTTCTCTTGGCGGGGGTGTTGTTTACGAAATTGAGGGGATGAAAAGCGAATGTCTGGAGCATTAACCGGGTTGGTGGACACAGGGAGTCCACCCAGGGGAGTCGGTAAACCCTGATTCCAAACCAGTGGTGCACATGGGCTCCAGTATCCTGAAGGAACAAATGGCGTATGAAACAATCGTTGGTCACCGGCTACCATGAGACTGCATCTCCTTACGATGCTCCACTGCCTTGTGGATCAGACCTTTAGGTCAGAGTCTCGGGGTGTGGCCTCCTAAGAAAACCCCCCGTTTCGGTTTGAGCACCCGGACAGTATCACAGACCTCACACAAATCAAATGAGATTTGTGTGGCGTATATGTATTTGGTGCCTCCTTGTACCAATATCTATGTGTTCAAATAATAATAATAATGATAATCTTTAGTATACACTCTTCATTTTTATCCATAAATTTGATTTTCCAGTTTAGTAAAACAATTGTCAGTCAAACCAACAGATTTATACAGTTATCTAATTGGTTCTCAAATGGCAGTGTAAGTGTGTTTATATTAACGACAATTCTTATTCAGAATAAACATTGAATAGTAAAGTTAAACAAGAAATTTCAAAATCTTTAGATTTTGGAAAGAAAACCAAACCGAACTACACTAGTGTTGGTAAGTTTGACAAAAAATAGACGGTTAATTATCCTATTTTTTATGAATTCACTAAATTAGTGAGGTAGAAAAGGCAAATTATTGAAGGAACTTAGTGATCAGTATTAGCTAGATAAACCGTAGAGTAAATGATAAAACTGTTTGAGCTTATCAACTGATTGTTCTAATTTACACAATGAAGATTTTTAATAGGTAGGAAATGTTTTTGAAACTCAAAAGAAAACAGATGGATTCCTGGTACAACTCGTGAATCTTTGTGGATAAATTAAGGAAGATGTAATAAATCATCTTCATATTATTGTGGTTTATTTCAAGTTCAACGTATAAATAAAAAACATTTCAAAATGCTCCCGTAATTTATCTACTTCTGACACAAAAATAGAGAAGCATGCGAATTATTGCAAACACTTTCGATACAAAATATTAAACAGTGTATATCATTTGGGGAAATTAAGCCCTGTAATATAGGTGAAGCTGAAGTGAATGATATCTGTAAACTACAAATATGTCTTACACATCAATCCGAAGATTTAAACAAACAATATAAAAATGAATTTATTTGGTATTAGTTATAAAACAAATATGTCAGTATTGGCATTCCGATAAGTTTCGAAATTTCGTGTTCTACTGTACTTATTACAGACATTAAGACGAAATAAGTGTGAGATAACTACCCGTTTATATCTAAGTGATTTAAGAACTAACTACAAATTTGGATAACAAAGTTCTGAGAGGTCAGTATGTGAACAAGATATTAATCCTAGCCCAAAACTGTGTTATTATTGTGCCCAATTTATGCCAAAGAAATGAATTGTAAATGATATTTCATTATCAAAAACTGACGTTACATTTTGCCTAAATCATCCGATAACAATAAAAAAATCTCATTTTCCTTATAAAGACACTTATTGTTTAGCATCTTAGAAATAAGCATGTAATCTGATACTGATCAACAACTGTGATGATATTATTGACAATGAAACCACATTTACATGTATAGACATAATATAAATCTATCGAATCCTGTTTTCTCTAATTCAAATACTCTCCAACTTATCACAGATCATGTTTTAACATTATTATACTATTAATTCCAAGTCATTATACATTAATTTTACTTAAAGTCAATACAATCAAACTATCACATTGTGAGACTAGTCCAAAACGTAAATCTTGATTAGTTATCCATCAGCACATACAATAAATCGCTTAAACTTAAGTTTTATGATATCTAAAAATTAGAAATACTCCTTTAATAAAGATATCTCATTCTCTTACTCAAAGTATACTGTCCAACGGTGATTTCAAGTCATAATCCATAATGATTTAAGATATCAACTACCTTAAATGAATTTTTCGTCTAATAACGTAAAGTAGCTGATTTAGAAAGTAATGAAAATACATATTATAACTTCCTTTAATTCTCTATTCGTTTGATTGGTCGATTTGCAAGACTATTTTCATGAGTTCATACAAACGGCTCAAATATATGATGGAGAATATTTTTGTTCAACAAACGAATTGTTACTTAAATCTCTTTGGAGTATTATAATTCAGACGAAACTATAATTTATAGATGAACCACTCATATTTACGATAACAGGTCTTGAATTTTGGCACGAAATTAATTAATTCATTTGACTAAATAGAGTTTTGGCATTATAGCTGAAGTCAGTTTGTTATGAAAACCCTATATCTGATGTCTAACCCTAACTATCAACTGTAAATATTAATCCTAATTCCTTACACTGGTTTATAACCCCCATTTAGCCGTGGTATGTAGGTGGACATTCTCTAGGTCACTTTAGCGTTGCTCAAAGGTCATCCATAAATTAAAGTCTCACCATAATTCATAATTTCTAGCACATGACACTTTCTCAAACATGAGATAAAACCTAATGAATTAAATGTTGTGCTTAAGTCATCTTCTCTAAGAGCATTTTTTTAAAATGTAAATGCGCACTTCTGAGAAGTCCCGCAATAGGACGAAACGGCCGTCCAGTGCTTCCTGACTCATAATCTCAACTGTAGAAATTATCTTGTTTTCATATTTAACTGTGACTAGGTTATTTAAAACACTCAACATTCTTTTTATTATCATTTAGCATAAGTTTTGAATTATGTGTTACATACTTCAATTTGATCAGCCGGATGTATCATTTTCCCTCACAAATCCATTTTCTGATTTGAATTAAGTTAGGGAACAACAAATAACCAATATCAAGCAATACTAATATTGATTAATGTGTACTTAACAGTGACACTAAGCATCCTATTCTAAACTGAAAAATTTATCTTATTATGCAGTCTACTACTAAAATACATTCCTTAACCAATCAGGCTAAAATATTGACATGTTATTTGTATTAACTTCCTGAAATAATGTTTACACTTAACCACGAAAAGCCATACCTAACCAATTAATAGATTCTCTTCTACACCTTAACAGTATTAAATTGCATACACGTAAACATAGTAACCATATTTCCATTGTTTCATATAGTCACAGATTTTTTAGAAATTTCAATAGTCGAAATCATGAATCAATTGAAGCTAGACCACCATGGGAAACCTGGAAGAACTGGACGGCCTTTTAGTCCTAGTATGGGACTTCTCAGCAGTACGCATCTATGATCCCGCTTCGCAAGATTAAAACCCAGGACGTAGTCTCGCGCGCGACCACTTAATCACTAGACCACTGAGCCAACATCCAACGGTGTTAATGTCTAATTTCAACCAATTTACGAATGTTTATAATTTTAAAATAAATATTCAACTTCATTAATATGTATACAGTATCAATTCACTTGCATAATATTTCGGATTTTTTTTCTCTTAGGGTTACATTCAACGAATTGTAACAAAAACAAAGTTAAACGAAAAGTACAAACAATAAAAACTCCAAAATCATGTTCAAACATTAATATTAATACTAATGATTGTTTAATAATAAAATCAAAGAATGCTTTAAGTCAATCATGTTCAATTTCTACAAAATTAAATTTAATTGATGTAAATGAGTCAAATTCTGAATTCGTAAACTTAGAAAATAATATATCTGTATGCTTAAAAATTCAAGGTTTGTTAATATTTAGTTAAGACTTTTCTAATGCTTAGATTTTCTCTGTTAGTTAATAATATAATTGATTTGATGGTAAAGATTCATAAGTTAGGTCGTAGGGAACTTTGTTGTTTCATGGATTATGATGTCTGCTTTAGTCCAAATGTGATTATCGATACATCTTTAATAGGAAGTAAATCAAAAATGTGCTTTATAAATGGTTATAGAGATAATTTCTGCTTGACTGGTTGAGTGTGGACTAGATAACTCACCATTACTTGTTAATGTTATGTTCGGTCGATATCTCAGTCATATTTATCTTGTACTTGTGTATGATAGGTTAGTAGTTTCATAAGGTTACAAGTGGTTGATTTGTGAACTTTACAAGCAAACTCAACCGTCGTCATTCCTTGGTTTTCTTTGATCTACTAATTTTGATAGTATATATAATGTACCGTACAACTTAAAACAATGTTTTCCACATTCTTTAAAATCGGGTTTACTTAAAAGAAATGAATATATTCAAGCCTAAAGAGTAGAAGAGCAAACATTTCCGACACATTGACTGTGTTTCTTTGAATAGTTCCTTGAAACCTCTCTTACCAAATGTTTTTATGTTACTTGTTGACAGGATGGCGAATGACCTCACCAGGGAAGTTTCTTTGTATAAGAAGGTGAACATATATGATAATCTCTTAGATATAATTCAGTTTTTAGATAGAACTTATAATCTACAAAACAACATCAGGCTCATTCGAAACGAAGAAAGCAGTTAGCAGCAGACCTTTTTAACATTCTCCTGAGTCGAAGAGACAATGACACCAGTTTATAGGAAGCCCTCTTAAACAAACCAATAGTTGGGCTTTTAATGGTTCCGTCTGTTACAATACAACCGTGGGTAATGGAGCCATTCAATCGAGGTTAGTGAAACATGATCATAAATTGATAAAGAATTAGTTAGCCTCGGACACCTGATCATGTTCCTCAATAACAAAATATATCACTTAAACAAATTGTAGGAATGACCTTACAACAATCTTTAAAACTTCATACGGAAATTATCAGGAGCCAACTTTTATATTTGTAAAGGATTTGGGCACTAAAATATTTAAACCTCCCTTATATGTACAGAAACAATATTGTTTTCACCCTGAATCTGCCCTGGTAATGTTTGACTTAATTTAACCCCTGGGGTGGTTATATATTATTCCATTTCTCTCTCTTAGATTAACACGTAGAAGTTATTTGACCTTTCATTTAACTGACCTTTCGTGATGCATATAAAGAGGTGGATTGACAAGAATTTCTATTATTATACTGCTCGAAGTATGATGCACAAACTTATCGAATATTTCAGCTCAACTTCGTTTTCTCACTTCATTCTTGAAATTTATGTTCGGTAATGATAGTTTTAAATATCAGATGATTCATCACTAGCTTACTATATTATTCTTTGCTCTTGTAACCTTCTAAACATTTAAAACATGATTTGTTTCTACATATAGACTCAAACAGGTTTTTGAAAGGTCAGTCTTTTGACTGATATGGAAACTTGATGAAAATCATCATTCATAATCCTCAAAACTAAACATACTTTATACTTTCTAAAAGACAACATAGATGACATGATGGATTCTCTTAGTTTATTCCACCGGTTGTATGTGTCATAAAATACTTTATGAATTCTCAGAAATAAAATTATGGAACGCATTTCGGACCCACAACTTAAATTCAAAATGTTAGATTAAAATTGTTAATAATCCTACCTCAAAATCATTAGTATCCTTTTTACTGAATAAAAAAGCCATTACATTATGAGAAACAAACACAATGTAGTTATAAATTTATAACTATAATTGCTCAATATCTAATATTATTAACGAATCCAGTCAATGTTATTGTATTAATTTCATTGAAATTTAGCAGTTCACCTAATTTCTCATGCATCTTCTGTCAAATATTGTTAATATAACCTTACTGATAAAAAGCTAAGACGTTATTGTTGTCATTAATTTAATTCTGACAACTATCAATGAAGTATTTTAGTGATAGAATATCGAATGCCGTTCTTACAATTATTGTATTACCAGATTTATTTGTAACACTGTAATGTAATAAATCGTATTTCTGATATAAACAGCAACTCACTTGATTGCCAGTTCACCAATACAATGAATTCACTGTAAAACGAAATACACATTTAATCATTTAATGACTAACGATACGATCAAATGCTGAGTGTCTTTATTTAATGTTTTTTTTGAAAATATATTGTGCTTCAAAATCTATCAGAAGTGTTCATGTTTACCATCATATGCTAATACAATAATGAAAAAATGAAATCATTTGTGCTGGGTAAATTAAATTATTATGTTTCTACTTTTAGGTAGTCCGAGGAAAACTACCTCACTGTACACAAAACAAAAAAGTAGTTTAAGTGAAAGTGATATTGTGAAGGTTGTTTCACCCAGATTATCAAATCAATATAAACATCCAAGTAGGTTTTTGAATGATAAATGAATACCTATATTTCTTATTTGAAATAATTTTTTAAATTTAGAAGAATGAAATGTTGGATTTAAAATAATGTAACGTATTTTAACTTACACAGTACATTCATTTAAATTGTTCTTTATCCTTTTAACGAAGGCATCATAATCGTTTTAATTCATTAGAAAAGCCTGTAGTGTCGGTTATTATGTTAAGCCCATATACCTTATTCTAGCTTTCGGACAGCCCAATCTATTCATTCTGCTTGAGTCATATTTTAACCTTGTTAATTATTCGCTTATCAGTCTTCAATGTTTTTATATGAATACATATGTGTGTACACTTCTTATCCGATTACTCATCACATGTCTGAAGCCTATTTTTGTGTAACTATAAATATTGATTAACGCTTGGTTAAAGGGAGTCGGCTTACCCTCTATCTCTACTGAGCGTCGTTTTGCTTCTCTCTATTCTATTCACTTCATATACAAAATATATGTATTGAAAAATTCATTTTCGTTATTTGACTTATTTAATTCCGTTATTGACTAATGCGATTTAAGTCGATGATTATATACGAGGATAGGCGACATATACAATTCAATAACAATCATTCATACAATCAAATTGGAGTCAGATCTTGGGCCACTAAAGTGGAGAGCCTGTCAACAAACATCGTTCGATTTAAATGACGACAAAATAAAGGGCCCCATTAAAAGCCATCGTGAGTTTAGTTTTTTCATCAGTAATTACTTCACATTAGTAACATACTTTGAGATGATTACTTTAATTTCCATACGGAAAACTATAATCAATAAAACCACGAAGATTTAAAGTGAAACCTGAAATGACTCATCAATAATAGGTAATAATTTTGATGTAGAAAATTCACGAAATCTCAATCAGTAGATGTTGACCTCAGGAGTCAAACAATAATATATTAACTTCTAAAAATGATGGTTTACTTCAGTAAAATATTTGTGCTATAGTTACCTATAAGAAACCTTTGTGCTTTTATTGATTGACAGGGAAAAATTTCAGGTAACTTATAATTAATTTTCTCTAAAATAAATGGTATTCATTAATATTATGAAAAGTAATTTTTTCAAAATACAGATGATAATTAATCCGATATAGATTTTTATGTATTAACAACATAATGTATCACTATTCTAATGTTGTCACTGTGGTGATACATCTCATGATGTCAATTATTTCAACTAAAACAAAGCTTGTTAGTTTTAGGCAGTTACATACTGTATTACTGATTTTAATGGACAATATCGATTTTGTACTACTATTTCTTATGGCTTGTATATGTATTACGTTTATGTTAATAGTAATATATCAATCGTATATTTCCAAATGTATTTCGATAATAAAGAACACCTAAATTTTGTTTTTAGATAAACATCAGACAATAAAACTCATCAATAGATTTTATATTCAAATAAAATTATTATTGTAAATAACATTTGACTTAGTCTGAAATAAGTTTGCTTAAAAAGTAATATAAAAATCCTAGTAAACACTCGTTATGCATTTTTGTTTGTCGAGATGTCCAATTCTTCGAAATTCTTTTTACCTTGATAAATATAATAAGAGTTCACATTGATAATTATAACTGGACAACGAAGTTTCAGTTAAATTCACTTGGTATTGTTTGCTTGTGTCTTCCCATATGCTGACAAGAAACTAATCAATTGCAGTCAAATCAAGAACAATTATGATACATTACAATCCCTCAGTCATGTTTCCTATCCCAAGTTATATAGCTTTCATCAGTGGATATCCTTCTCAGTCTGCAGCTCACTTTTCGGGGTAACTTCTTGCTAGGACACCTAGAGATTTAGTTTAAAACAGGTCGCTAATATGTATTAATCTGGATAGTACATTACCAATTGAGAAAGTGAACACTCATCATTAGGTGGCAGATAATTTTATTCCAGGTAAAAATATATTCTGTAGGTTTTCATTGAACGTGAATATTACTACTTAACATACTTGCTCACAAAATCCATAATCATGGTTAAAATTATGAAAGATCAAGTAATTTCTGATAGTGTTTTACAATGTTTTATTATGTCCATTAAACAGATCAACTTTATTCTGAATACAATACAATTAGGAAAATTTAGCAATAGAAGTGAATAAAATAGCATGAAAAAGAAATTTTTCTTATCTCTGGCAAAAATCACAATACTAAAAGAAAATACTTACATACAACTAAATACAGATTTTGTTTCTAATATATATGTGGTACATGAGGAAAAAGTTTATTCTCATTCGATTGATCAATACTATTTAAAAAAGGTCGTTGTTTTATATAAAATTGTTTCCTGTTAAAGTTGATTCCAGTTATGGCTTTATATCGATTAAGGAATCATTGAAAATCTTATACCATGGGATATATGTTTTTATTCTAGTTTGGGACTTCTAAGAAATGAGTAAACACGATTTAGCCAGAGAATTAGACAAAGACCTTATCGACTTATGGAAAGTTATTTAACTACAAACCAACGATTTGAAATCTTGTAGTCCATATGTGCAACTTTATATAGTTCACATTATGGCCCAATATCGTCTAATTCAATAGGTGGGTTACCCTCCCCTCCACTCTAAACATAGCTAAACACCAATTGCGACTTATTATCATAACTTCGATCCTCATTGAGGTCATGACACACTATACTGAGAAGCTATAAATTAAAATAAAACAGTTCTTAAGTACTCTATGGTTTTCATCCATTCACAGGATGATATCAGTTAGTGACGAAAATTAATTTCAATTTAAACTAATCTCATAAAACGTTCCCACCTTCAGTAAAGAAATAATGAAATTATTCATAACCAAATCGGACACTTATCACTCAGTATAAGTTTCTTCTTTTATTCATCATTTATTACACTTTTTAAACGTTAATTTTTTTTCTGACGTGAAATATGTAATATGTGAATTAAATAACCACTATCCATCTTTGTGAATTACACAGTTTATAGCCTATTATTTTCAGTACTGTTCGTTAAGTTAGTATTTTATTTTTATAAGCCATAAAATATTCAAATTAACAAAATCTGTTGATAAAACGGATTGAGAAGATGATTTAAACAGCTTTTAAATTTATTTTTATTATGGTTTAACTATTTACATCTATTTTCTTTGGTTTTGCATTTCATCAAAAACATCTTTCTAGCTTACAGAACAATTGTCTAGACTACTGAAACAGAAAGAAGTAGTCAGTTTACCTTTCAAGACTAATATATTTATTTTAATTTATTCCATAAGTATTATTATTATGATAGTTATTATCAGTAAGAAAAAAGCTTCAATAAAATCTCCAAACTGAATTGAAAAATAGTAATTTCTATACTTGAAGCTTCTAATTATCACCTGTTTTAACAAAAAGCTTAAATTTGGTTGTAAGCTCAATAAGTATGTCAAATTATCAAATCTTCTGTAAGATCAGTTTGGAATGAAAGTCGGTACATAATCTTGAATAAAATAAGATACAGAGAGACAAAACTTTAAATATTGAATTTTAGAATATTATTAAATTTTGTTTAATCTAATAGATACTACTTATATTTGAACTAAAGAATAAATTTACGGCTTATAGTATTACTTACGCCTATTACGCTCAATGGAGTATAAGCCACCAACCAGCATATTTTTTCTGGTTAGCATTTTTTCGGAGAGTTAGATTTTTACGGGATGGAGTCGCTAACCCCATTCCCAACCCTTCTCCTTTATCCGGGCTTGGGAACGGTAGTATCCCCAGATGGGTTGCAGGTGGAGTTCATAGTATTACTTTTCTTTAATAATATAAAACAGATAAATTACGTTTTGGTACATAAAACACATCATAAAAGGAAGTGTTTTTTTTTAATTTATTTAAAATTGAGTGTTTAAATGAACATAGGTGAAATAAAATCAATAAATATCGAAATAAACGAAACTTTCTATAGTGAGATAAATTTACTCTTTTTATTGAGGCGTAAAAACAAATGTGAAAATATGGATTTGTATAAGACTGTTTCTAATGTTTATAAACTAACAATACATATCATATCACTATACTTTTTATTCAAACAATCATGAGATGTATTCGATATATATATTACTTTTCATGAAAGTATACGTTTCGATAATTTACATGTACTGAGTAAACTATAGACAGATTATTCATTATAGCACACTTATTAGTAAAAGTCTAATTTAAATAATGCAAACTTTATATTTCTAAACTAGTTCGAAAGTAATATCTATGTAATAAACTATGATAAACATTTCCCTGATTCTCAACAGTTCATTAAATAAAGTTAGTTAATGATGAAACATTTATATAACAAGCAATCACAGAGTAATAAGGAACAAGTCATTTGAGGGACTGAAACCATGACTGTCACGTTATAAGTAATTTATACATAAAGGGAGAAACATCCTAGGTAATATGAATGATTTTGACAGTATCAGGGACTACTGAGTTATGGTATGTTCTCAGTTTTTATGGAGACTTCGTTTATATAAAATTTCAAATAACATTACACTTTGTTTTGAAGGAACTCAAAAGTCATGTGAAAACATACTTTCATTTGGTCACGCATACTCAATCTCTTCCATGTCAGCTGAGAGAATTAAGGCGATTCTGGATGACAAATTATGTATTTACGGTTATCAGACAGGAAAAACTCCAAGAACATCCGATTTCCATAAGTTAGATGATATTCCTGAAAACCAACTTCATACTCTGTCTTATTATAATGATAACAAACAATTGAAAGTTTCACACAAAACATCAACTCGTCCTAAAAGTGCTGGAGATGCTCGCACTGGAATAAATTCTGTAAGTATTATGTTAAATTTTTACACAAGCCCCATTGCACTTGGATGTTATCAACAACGCAGTAAAGAGCTGCGTATCTACTGCTTCTAGATGCTACTTGATACAAATGGTATGATGAAATGTGTAAGCATCCTTCGAATCACCTAGGTGTGGTTTTGAGTTAAAGTTCATCTTTGTTACTTTGAAGCTGAAAAACTTAGACATCTATATCACCAATTGGTCTTTGTGTAATACTATTGAAACTAAACTTGAAACTGAGCTCATTTAGTTTAATTAAGATGTGATGATAGTTCTTGCAATTACCAAGTATAAGCACTTATAAACCATCGTCTTCAACCCAAACGAGGGTTTTCACTATAATCTTCTTCAAGATCAATTTATGATCAGAATTTCGGAATAGGTCAGTTTTGAAATGCCACTGTCATTTCTAACTTTTTATGATGAGAAATACATCTAATATTTTCTATTGTTTGATAAAATTCATTTACAAGTAGTATATGAGTAATAAAATAAATTTATGTCAACTAAATAAATATTCAACTTAAACTAAACTAGAAATTCCACATAAATAAATTACAACAACGATCTCTAACTGTCAGGCTGACTTTAGATAAACACATTATGGGATTATATGATAAAACATGAGATAAAATATGAATCTATTAGTCGTTTACTTATTATGCACGAATAAAGACTTTTAAGAACTACCAGAAGACTTTAGAATATAACAGAGTAAAATATAGCGCCGTTAGTTTCAGTATTCTCTTGAAGCGAACCTAGACAATAGTAATTCATCCTGATATTGAGTGAAAATCACAATGGAGAGAAGATAGGTACATAATTTATTAGATTATGTAAGAAAACTTAATGAAATTTCATATTCAAACTGATTGATATCAAACAATTAGTATGGTTGCGGCAAACCATATATAAATTTCTATATTCTCTCTACTGAATCCTTCTGATCTGCTTTAAATATGGTTAACTGTTTATAAAAAAAATGTAGATTTTAGTGGAATTATCTGAAATTTCCCATTTATAACTATCAGTTAAAGCAGAATGAACATTTTAGAGTTAGGCACAATTCATTAAACATTACTTATTAGTTGATCAAGCAAATGTACTTTTTCATGGCTTAAATTACAAAGGTTAAACGATATTTTATTTTCAAATAGAATAAAAATGGACAAATACTCCTCTATTCAGTCCATTACAATAGATCTTTTGCTACTAACTAAAGTGTTCAACTGCTAGGCTGAATATCCAATCAAATTTTATCACCAAAGATGAATCAGTGTTAATCATTTCACCTCCAAAAACTGCTATCGTCTACAGTTATCATGGTTGCAATGACGAACAATATTTTCATCCAATTAACTATGGTGAAGAATAATTACTAGACTTCTCAGAACTTGATTAAACGCACCACGTTTCTGCTAACCACTTTTTTTTCAATTAATAGAACGTATATGTTTCACCAACCAGATCAAAGCTCCCCTAATTGATAAGTAACATCATTGTTACTTTTTTTTACCTGGATTCTGTAAATACTGTAGTTAATAAGTTTGATAACAGTATAGAAACGAATACTACACATACAAATTTTTCCAACCTTATTCACGCAGACATTTATTGTACTCTCAAGTTCAGTATTTCATTTGTGTAGTAAGATAAAAAGACTATAAGCCCATGATAAATGCTTCTTTATTATTGGTAATGGCTGAAATATTATAGTACGGAGAATTGTCCAAGTTATGTAGAAACATCTGGCGGTACAATTCAAATTTATAGTATTTTGAAACTAAATCCGTATATTTATTCGGAGGTCATCTCTAAGCTTCTTTTAGCTGCAGTTCTACAGTTACCCGCACAACGAAGTGCGGAAGCCTCATGGCTATTCAGGTAGAGAAGAGCTTTGACTGGACACTAAAGAGTATGTGTATATAGGGCTTATGATATAGACAGTGTGGGTAATTAACCTGACTCACACTATGTAGTGCAGAAATATTCTTATTGACCTACAATACTCTTTTCCCATCAGTTTTGAAAGCTTTTATGCAGACCAAAAGCGTTGATGAGCTACTAATGAGCTCACCAGTGAAGAAACGTGGAAACTATCCCCAGTTATGCTTCATATGCACATATTCAAATGCAGGTATCAATGACATACATTCCAGTGATATGCATATTGGCATAGATTGGCGCGGCTGCTAGTATGTTGTACATGTAATGATAGCGTAGGCATGCAGGTATGCGATACATGCATATGCAAAATGCACAAGCCAAGGACCATACACTCAATGGTATATACATAGGCATAGATGCAAACATCTCGGGTCCCCAAGCCCAGCAGCATTTTCGCTGAATGAATATCGGGTATTGAAATCAGTACATAAGTCGTCATAGTTGATGTGCTCACTTCATGCTCTTACCGCAAGCCGGTTTAGTTTCGGACACTATGTAGTGGTTACGACACTGCTTATAGTCTACTCTCTGGTCCGCCCCAGCCAGATCTTATGGGCCCTTCCAGACTAATCTGCCAAAGCACCAAATGGAAAATTTTGTTCAATACTTCAGTCATACTATCAATTCAAGTTAATCTTTCTTCTCATATAATCACGATGTAGTTAGTCAATCCAGGGCCGCTTACGTTAGTTCATTGGGAAAATGATCACCCACTATCCAGAGAGCACTAAGCGGAAATTCAAGTCGGACTTCGACCCCCTCCTCTTCCACATAATTCGACGCATATATATGAGCAAAACAACTAAATTATTCAGTCAAAATCTTTTCTTCAATCCATGCTATTTCAATAAAAAAAGAGAATTTCTTCTCTATTCTGTAATTATAAAATATACTATCTTAACAAAAGGTTTGCGTTTTACCTGTCCCATTGTATTCACCAAATCAGAAAGCATAAAATTAATTTGTACATTATAAAAAATTGCCCATAAGGCATATACAGATGAAGGTAAAGTTTTTGTTTCCAAAATATACATTGCTGAGAATTAAATACAAAAAATCTCAACCAATCTCCATCTATCAATAAATTTATGTCTCCTGAAAGTAAAAATTTTCTGTTTTGTTTGACAATAGAGTATTATTGTTAAAGTAGATTGAATTTAGTTTACTTCTAAAATGTCTCCTTAAATGAGCAATGTTTATACATATTCCAAGGCTCATTAATTCTCATATTCATTTTTTGATAGGGAATGATAAATTTTATTTTATCATGGTAAACATATATAGAACATTTACATTCCACTTTAGGTATCAAACCTTATTCAAGCGTAAATTATTTGGATATTTACAACTAATGAAAAATCATTTAACGAATGTATTTTCCTATCGCATTAAAGTTTACATGTAAAGTAACTACCTAAGTAGTTTCACTATACAATTTATGTCTCCTAAAAACTCTTCGTTACATCTGAACTACGAAAACTCTCATACAAGCTAGCTTTTTCTCGTATCATCCAAATGTATATTGGTGGACCTTCATAATATAGCAAAGAGCCCGGCAATAAATTTGAAATATTTCTCGCTCTTATTAGCCAATCAGCAAAAGATTGTCAAAATCAAGGAACCGTCTTTATGAAATCAATAAAATTTATGTTTACTGTAGTTATATGTAATTTATGAGTTTCCCTATCTTCACAGTTATGCTTTTTTTTCTAAGCCACATTACATTCTTTAAAAAGATTCATACATTTAAGAAGGCGTCGGATTGTGTTGGAGTTCATTATTTGATGCACAAGTTATAAGGCAGTTGACAGTGTTTCCTGAACAAAGGTATAGGAGCGAATTCATACTAAACCATTTACCGGATAAAATTAACATCAAGATAAATCTAGTAGTAAGACAATCCTGTCGTTTCAACACTGACAGCGTAATAACACTTAGTTTATCTATCCTAAGTTATTTTAAGTAATAAATAAACCTACCTTCAATAAAGCACTCCACAAAATGAGTGATAGATAATTTTATTGATTAGGCTTCATGCTAAGAAGTAAAGGCTGTTATAGACCGTTTTCTCTAGGGTAAACGTTTACCGACATGTGTATTTGTGGTTATCATAAAAAAGACATTTTCATCCCTTTGCTTTTAAAGATTAATGAGAGATATCGGTGTTGATAAGTAACTTGCTAATATCTTCGGTTGAATGATAAAATATGCCTTTAAAAACTTTATTTTTACATAATCTTATTAGGAAGAATTATTTCGTCTCTTTGAGAATACCTTAGATATTAATTCTTCATTAAAGTTGATTAATCAATGTTATTATGAAAATTTATAAAAGTTGAAATTACTCTCAAGTAATTTTTTTAACGTATGATTAATTGTTGTAATTATTCACGCTTTTATAGATTGAAGATATTAAAGAGTTATTAAATATTCAGTCCATATATACCCCACCAAAACCCTTCCTTTTAAGTGAAAGGCAACCTGATCGAATTAGATCAGCGCGTGAATATCGACGAAAACATATTGAACGAAATCTTCGTTCATGTTTAAATTCAACAGTTAATCTCATTCTTCACAACAATGATACTCCTGTTTCAGATGGAACGACTACAAACAGTGTATACAGTGCAAGACAACGAGCAGATATTCACTTACCAAGTGTTAAACATTTAATGGAAACATATGAAGAAGTAGAAAAGTGATATTTGAACTTCATCTAATCCCTAAAGAATAGTTTATATCTCGTTTAATGAAAATAACTCCAGCAATTTTTTGTCTACTGCATAATTTTGCAACACATTTACATCATTCAACCGCAATGTTATAAAAATTTCACTATTCTTATTAGATTTATGTTTGTTTATTTAAAAATATAAATTTTCACATCATAGACATTGTAACAAGTGTTACGAAACAATTTTTCACCTTAACTTTTGTTTAATTTACATGAATAATAATAACTTTTTGAATGACTTTGCAAAAATAAATGTTAAATGTCAAGTGAAACTATCGCATATACGAATAAACGTTGCGAAACCACGAACGGAAAAGAGTTTGTTCATTTTGTAATGTTTGTTTGAATCTTCCCATTGATGTTTAGGACTGAAATTGATCCGTCTCCGATTGTATAAGCTGGTGGTCATCAGGACTAAGTAGCTAAGTGGATAACATGATGGCGTTTGAGGCGAACAATATTGGGTTCGAGTCCCGGAGTGAACATTAACTCTGGGATGCAGTTACATCCAACCGACGAGTCCCAAATAGGACGAAACGCGTGTCCTGGATTCCATTGCTAACCACAATTCGTCTTTGGAAAACAGTTTGGTTAATAAAAATGTTATACGTTCGCGAATGATTCAGAAATTTCTTAATTAATTTATTATAAAATTTTTTACTTCGGACAGACCTGTTTGAGCAATAAATGAAAGGCTTGGGTTATATAAGTGAAATACATAAAATAAAGTTAATAAGTTGAATAAGAATTTTGAAATGAAGCCATCAAAAATATTAAATGAACTAAATTGCACTCATATTACCTTTCTAGAATATTTACTTTCACTAAAGATAAAAACCTGTAGTAGTTATTAGTGATCAACTCTACTATACTCATTTTATTTGGCAAGAAAACAATTTACGAGTAAAATATAATTTCAATACGTGAAATTCTTTTATTGTGACGTTGTAGCCCATTCGAGACCATTTCACTATATGAATTTCTAATTTAAACACAGAACTCATTTTATTACTGAGGATAAGTTAACAGATGTGTATTAGGTAGAGAATATACATGCATTTCATAATTCCCTAATTATTCATTCCAATTCGTTAACTACATTTATATTACAGTGAAAGCCAGCCAATCATGTTATTTTTTAAAAATTATTACCAGTTATTATTCTGTCGTTCGGTATAAATGAACAAATGATTCGTTTTAAAGCACATTATTTAAAAAAAACACTAGAGTATAAATGCTCTGTGACACTAAATCAAAATATATTGTCGATAGGATTGTTAAAATTTCATCTCATTATCAAAACGTTTGAATTCACGGGATAATCGATGACATTATGATTCAAATGTGAATAGTTTTAATTTAATAAAAACATAATATATCATCAGTTCTGTTGTGACTTTATGCCCGCTTTTTATGTCGTGATTTATCTGCCAATCAAAATACGACTTATACAATCTTCAGATTGCGCTAAACCAATGTTGTTCAACCGGTATGAACAGTCTAGCGTCCTTAATTGTCTCTTGCTCGCCTAGCCCATCCAGTTGAGTTCAGAACACTAAAACAGTTTCCACTATGCGAATCATTTATTTTAGAACGCAACGCACCATAAAATAGGAAATAAAGCCAAAAAGTGGCTGTGAACATGGGAGACAGTAATTAATAAACTGAGTATAACTTATGAACAGTAAAGCGTACAAAAATAATTTATAGGTCAAAACGAAGCTTATAATAAGAGGAATATAGATATACATAATCTAATTACTAAATAGTTATACCTTAAGAATATATAGATAATATTGGTCCATTAATAGTTCTCAGAAGTTACTCGTAATTTAATCTTCGTTAGGATATAACAAGGTCCCCTCTCTATTCTTTCATAGTATATTAGGAATGAAATTTAAAAATTGACAATTAATAAATTTTAATTAAGTATTTATACCTTCTCGAAATATTCATTGTGAAGATTCATTAAATTTGCATTAAACTAATAAACATTTCTTTCTAATTTCTTTTAAAATGAAAATGAAACTTTCAAAATATAATGTAAATTGGTTAATTTTATTATTCCGTTACCAAAATTTGAGATTTTATTTCAAAATAAGATGCAATAATGAACAAATACTTTTATTTTTTTAGCTTAGAAGATAAAAAATATAAGTGATTTACTTAGTAACATTAAACATTTTATTTTAAAAACGCTTTTATTGTAGCATAAACTTGAGTTTCTAACAACATTTTTCTCAAAATTTTATTGTATAATCAAAGTGAAACAATTTCCTCCTAATCAATAAATTTTTATCAAAAAGGGTTTTATGAAGATTTCAGTAATTTCAATAGTTGAAATCATAAGTCAGTTGAAATTAGACTACTATGGAAAACCTGGAAGCACTGGATGGCCGTTTCGTCCTATTGTGGGACTCCTCAGCAGTGCGCATCTACGATCTCGCCCCCCGCTGGGTTCGAACCCAGAACCTAGCATTCTCGCGCGCGAGCGCTTAACCACTGAGCCGGCAGACGTCCAATGGTGTCAATTTCTAACTTTAACCAATCGACAAAATTGTACCACCGTACACCATTGTCTTCAGTGAGCTGATATCTCATAACTGACCTGGTTGAACCCCACTGGTCACTGTTTCTCACCAGAACTTCAGGAAATGCCTCTTGAAGCCAGTCACTAGTGAGCATATGTCGATTTATATCAGAAGGGGTTTTGTAGAGATTTTAGTAATTTCAACAGTTGAAATCATGAGTTAATTGAAGCTAGACCACCATTGAAAACCTGAGTTCGAATCTCAAGGGACGGGATCGTGGATGCACACTGATGAAAAGTCCCATAATAGGACGAAAAGGCCGTCCAGTGTTTCCAGGTTTTTCACGGTGGTTTGACTTCAATTGAATCATGATTTTAAATATTGAAATTACTATAATATCTACAAAACCCCTACTGATACTAAATATATCGATCTTTACTATTTCACTGGAACAATGTAGAAACATAATTGAATCGAGCCAATAAACTGTTTATTTGTAAACGAAATAGAGGAAAATTCAGTCTGTAGTAGTATAATATCAAACAATTAACTATAAGATAGAATTTAATCAAATATAATGACCTTGTGTTTTGTTTTTATTTAAATATGAAATTTATGGGTTACATTATTAATAAATTAATATTTTTTCAAAGCATCATTAAAGAATGAAAATTAAGAGTTTACCTCACAAGATAAGACGTTTTATCACTTGCTAATGGTCTACGTTATTTACTTCATCGATATTTCAATTAAATCCATTTATTGTTGAACTTTATTTGGTGTCAGAAATTCAGTAACAATAATCTTAGTGTAAAATTGATCATTTAAAATGAACTTGCTGTTCTTACACTCCAACGTGAATGGAAGCTCAACATAATTTAAAGTACCAACATTATCAGCAGTAATTGTCAAGCAGCTTTAATTTACTGCAAATTTTGCTGTGAATCATATAATAATTTATAGATATGAGGTCTGAGTTATCTGTCTTAAAGTAAAATAAATTAGATCAGTTACATATACACGTAGACGCAAAAATTGAGCAATGATTTACACCCATCGCTCTATTCAATGAGTGACATTGCACAACCATCATCCATTGCTATCAACAATACATGTCACACTTCCGAAGGGCCAATTTTATCTGACAAAACTTTCTCACAGCGACTGTGAGAATTCTGCTCAAAATGGTTCATTCTCACTATCATAATGAATTTAAATGAAATGGTTATTTCCTTATGACATTTTCTGTTTTCCTTGATAATTATTGGTGCCAATTTCAAGAAGATGAATGGCACAGAAATAAACTATCTTACCCTGCAATTGTTTCGATTTTAATCCACGGGTTCTAAATAGTTAATAGTTTAATGACAACGCTCTACAAAGATATTGTAGGTGACAACTCTGATAGCTTCATTTTATGGACTTATTCGAAGTTAAATGTTTGTATCAAAGGTGTTTCCAAGCAGAAAGGTGATGTTTTACTTACTGTTTTTCACTACATTTAAGATTTTTATTCTGGTTAGTGATCGAATTTGAGTTTAGAGAACGAACATTTCAAGTGGTAAAAATAATCTGATCTACAAGAACAAATAAACTGATAGGACTTTTGCTAAAGGAGCTCGAGTGATCTCCAATTTCAAGATCAAGTAAAAAGATGACATGTAAAATTTCAGACGATGCGAATGAATATCATGAAATATGACAACGTACTGAGCATATTCACAACCTAAAAAAACATTCTCTCTTCCATACGAGTCAGACTAGCATAAAATTTGAGCAAGATGTGGCCTGATCAAATAATTATATTTATATTACTGCTAGAAAAACTAATTAGCCTTTCGTAAGCATTTATTCATTTACATACTTACACCTGTTAGCTCTCATGGAAGAACATAAGCACTCCACAAGCATTCTCCATCCAACTCTGTATTGCTCAACCCTTCCTAGTTGCTATTCATCCTTTTCATGTCTGCTTCCGATTCTCAAAGTAATGTGTTCTTTGGCCTTCCTCTTTTCCATTTCTCTTCAGGATTTAAAGTTAGCGATTGCCTCGTGATACAGTTTGTTGATATCCGTAATGTGTGTCCTATCCACTTTGATTGTTTCTTCCTAATTTCCTCCTCAGCTGGAGGCTGGTTTGTTTTCTCCCACAGTAGATTACAGCTGATGATATCCGGTCAACTGACATTGAGTATCATGTTCAGAAAATTGTTTATAAATACTTGTAAATTTTTGATGATCGTTGCATTAGTTTTCCACGTTTCAGCTCCGTACATTAGAACTGTCTTTACGTTTGTATTAAAGATTCTGAGTTTGATATTTGTTGATAGTTGTTTTGAGTTCCATATGTTCCTCAACTGTGGGAATTCTGCCCTTGTTATGCCAATTCTCATCTATAAGTCTGCATCTGATCCCCTGTGTTCATCGTTCATTAGGA